TGCAGCGCCTATGGCGTATTATAAAGGAAACCAAACAATTATGTAATCGTAGCAAAACCATATCGCGTAGAAGAATCACGCGAGGTAATGTCTTTGCCTTGCGCGGCTTGGATTGCTGTATGTCATGATTCCCGTAAGCAAACTTTTTATAAGCAAGATTTAGCATTTTCGCAAAATCTTGGAAGCTATGCGCCTCCTGTGCGAGATCGGCACATGGTGAATTTACAGACGTACAACGAATAGCGTGGGTGCCTTAGGAACGGCCATACGTTGCCGGCAGCTTGGCAACAACTGGCGGCAACGTATGGCGGACTTTTGAGGCACTAGGCAGAAATCATGAGCGTGACATCAAACGTAGGACTTTCACAAATAGGATTGGAGTATGGTGAGCATGAAAATGTGTGCAGTTACAAGTGAAATGCATATGGCCAACAGAAAAAAGCAAAGCACTGCAAACAAATGATGACAAAAACCTCATCTAGTGTAATGAAATGAAACTTTGAACTTACCAACCACTAGTCCATTGCGATTCTCCATAACTCGTACTCGCAAATTGTTTGTTGGTATCTTTCTGAGTAGCTTATACGAATTTACATCCATGGTGATCTCCAGCACAATAAGCAGTTTCGAAAACAAGGCAAAACATCTGAAAACACCACAGCTTACGACATCTGGTATCAATTATACAACTTTGCAGCATATATAAACCAAAAGGTCAGAAATGACATATACCGGTCATCGCATGCTCCATCGTAGATGACGGGTGCGACACCAACGTAAAGGATACGACCGCGTTGCTCAAAAGATGCCCAACCCTCGACCTGACCGGTGTACAGAAGCTCAAGTTGAAGTTCTTTTTGTTTACGAACAGCTTCACACAATAACTGTAAATAAAGCCACGAACGTTCACATTAGCAACTAGACTGTTTGTAATGATGCACACCTTCATTTCCTTGAACACCGCACAAGATCGCTGAACGTCACCACGGTCAGCATGCCCTTCCTAAATAAATGA